GCACCGGCCTCCAGTGGGCACGCCTGCGGCCGCCCTGGAAGAAGACACCCAGGGTCCCCGCCGCCCGCTCCCCGCCGCACGCCCCCCGGCTGGCCCCCTGCGCCCCAGACACTCCCGTGTATGCATCCGTTGTACAAAGTGAGGTGTGAATGAGTAATATAAAATATTTTACTACGAAGCACAGGGATCGATTTGGTTTGTTCAGCCGCGGCTCCCGTGCGCATCACAGAGCAGATCACTTCGGGGCGAGGCCGAGCAGCCCTGTCTAGACCCTGAGTTTGTGCGGAGACTCCAGGGCCACAGGGAAAGCCATTTTGGAAAGCCTCACGGTTTACATCGGCTTGAGGTTCCCGCTGATGGTATGCCTAGGCCGCGTTTCCATGCGGGCGGGAGACCAGCAGCGTGGGGTCTCGCACCAGCAGCCCAGCGTGGCTGGGTGGGAATGCCGTGTCCGGCAAGCTGGGGGAAGGGAGCACTTTCAGTGAAGATGCAGAGGATGCCCTTAGAACGTTCTGGAAGCTTGGGCCGAGCTGTGGGGAACATCCCGGCAGATGCTGAGCATAGTACCTATGTCCCCTTGCTTTCTCACTGTCCCCGGCGGGTGAAACATCCCAGGCTGACCTTTTTCAGATAGAGATGATACCAACGTGTGGGGTATTTCGGACTCAGGTCAGCTCTGCAAACCCCGGGTCCGAGCAGTCCAGGCACAGCCTCCGACGGCCGCCATCCAGACGTCTCAGTCCATTTTGTGTTACTGTAACAATACCACAGACTGGGTGGCGTGTAAAGGACACAGCTGCAGAAGCCGGAGGATGCAGTCTTGAGATGCCGGCGTCCAGCGAGGGCCGTCGTGCTACATCCGGTGGCAGGAGACAGGAGAGCCGGGCGGGAGAGACATCCATCCGTTTTCGAGACAGCCCTCAGCCTAAGCACCTCTGAGTGGTCCCACCTTTTAACGCCCCGGCGGACTGGGCGTGGTGATGCCTGCAGGCGGCCGGCTGCAGTGGGCTGTGGTCACACCACTGCACACCTGGGCCACAGAGCAAGACCCTGACTCTCAAAAAAAAAGTAACAATAAAGCCCCAAAGCAAACAAATCTCTCCCAATGGTCCCTGGAATCGAGTGGGGAGCCAGCAGCTCTGTCTTCCACGG